ATGTTACAAGTGAATATTCAAATATATGTACATTATACGCAATGCATACACTTTGGGGTAGTATAGTACCCCATAAATTTTGCTACATCAATGTGCTCACATTTTGCTAATTGGTTATTATCATTAATGCCATTCTGGCGCATTATTTCTATAACTAATTCAGCTAAAATTTGGCTTAATAATAAATTCACATACAAGTACATGAAAGAGTTTGATAAAGGAAACTGTCGAAGAGGGAGTCGAGGGATGTCCGGGATCTTAGTGTTTCGGCCCTATTACTGATAGATTTTATTTAGCAGATGTAGCGGCATCATTCGCAAGCGTGCGGGACTTCCGTTTTTTCAACTTTGTCTTAACCTTGCGAACCAGGTTGACCGTGTCTAGGGAAATTCCTGCCACTTGTTTATCTTCGATGCGGCATTGAAACATGTTTTGAGTATTAGAGGCGACACTGTTGCTGCTATTTTTTATGGGCAGACCACCAGTATGGGGTATACGTTTTGAAACATTAACACCCCCTGCATGACTGCCCACCGATTGTTGGACCGCTGTTACGACTAGGCCACCAGTCTTAAACTTGCTGGTAATGCGTCCACCAGAGTTTTGAATGCCACTGACAGAGGCGTTTTGTGTGCTTTCTGATCCGCTGCCTGATTGAGTTTTTAATATTAGCCTTTGCATCTGATTAATTTGATGTTGCTGTAGATCACCAGCGGCAGAACCTCCAGTACTTGTATGGGTTCGTGAAAAACGTGTTACAAACTGCGTCGTCTCAGCAAGTTTAATTATACTTGTCTTGCGTTTCCCTTTCCCAGTTACTCCGGACACGTTTGAATGGGCATCATTTCCGCCGGTTGTTCGGATGATCTTTTTTGGTTTGCGACCGCGCATAAAGATCTGCGGATTCTCTAGCTTAGTAGTCGTCCCGCCTAAAAGGCGCGTGTTTGAAGGTTGTGTTTTTGTATGGTTTTGCTGCCACAATAACAGCTTTTCTGAACAGGCGCTACAAATGATATATTTATAAATCTCCTGAGAATTTTTTTTTTTCAAACTTACTTAAATAAATCCACCTGCTCCAATTTGCGGGATCTACGTGGCGCACCTACATAAGCAGGTGGTAAGGTTGCTGAACCTGTTGTTGATTCTGCTGCCGATATCAATGGTTCCTTGTTACTAGCGGCGGTATACATGCTTCGAGCTTGTGACCCTTCAGCGCTTCGAAGAGCTGCAGTAGCTGCTGCCGTTGCCATCACGGTAGCCATGTGAGCATGTGCCTGGGATTGGCCTTTGTACCAACCCAGTGGTCGAACGTCAGAGTCACCGTAAGCTCCCGCCCAAATTTTTTTTTTAATGGATAGTTTTACGTGTAGGTCCTCAGCGTGGTTTGAATGGCCATGACTTTGCAGATTTAGTGGGATGAAATTGTTTGGTATGCTGCGGACGTAAGGATAGGACTAGAAAATGATATGTACTAGCCGGCTCAAAACTTACCGCCTCGTTGGACTCTTCTGAATCTTTGGGTCTGGTTTTGATTCGTTCATGAAGAAACTAGGTTTAGCACGGCCGCTATCTTGGTTGAGATTGTGCCAGGAATACGTGCGTCGAGCGCCAGTACCGCTTGTCTTGGCTTGCATCTGAGCTTGTTGCTCGGGTGCTGTGCTAGGTATCAGTTTGTATACTTCCAATTTTTTAACTCCACCTGGACCGCAGTTTTTGGAGGGTGCTGTGACGATTAATTCTGGCGGCATATGGGCGGGTTTGGGCTTTTGCACTACCAAGTCTCCAATTTCTTCAATATATCGCCGCTGCAACTCACTCTGCAGTAGAGTGTGACGAAGTGGTGCTACTGCCCCAAATGTGACGTTACCTGTTGGGAAAACTTCTTCATCATCTGTGGAAAAATGTAAATCAGAGCCCGGATCGGTGGTAGGTAAATCGAGTGCCGTTCTAATCACTTCGCCACGCTTCTTAAGCGGCTTGTTTCGGATACGCTGTCGGCGGTTCTAAAACAAACGAAAAAATGTATAATTAGAATACGGTATATTGTAGAATTTTTGATGTGTATGGCATGGCGCTTAAATGAGTTATTTATTTCTATGTTAATTTATCGTTTTGTATTTATTCTACAAATTTAGCAACTGGTTTTGTGTAAATAGAAACTAGAAGTGTTTCGCCAGGCCACAGAAATATTTCTTGTATTTATAGTGTATAGTTCACAGCTCTTGAATGTACCTTTTTGCGGCGAAAAATGAAAATGCGTCGGTTAGCCAGCCAAAGTCGCAAGTTCCGGTCAACACGCATTTTTCGGTTAGTTGCTTTAGTTTTGCATTTTTCTGTAGCCATGTGCTTCTTTTTTTTGTTACGCTTACGAGTTGACTGTTTACCAGTCTGATTTATTTCGTTACTTGCATCGGTCAATAAGTCTGACGACTGAGACCCATTGCTTTCGGAGCTTTCAGAGTCAGGCGACTGGCGTGCGGTTTTGACAGTTATCTGGGGGCTTTCGCTGCTTATCAATCTCTCACTGGCATTGCCATTTGGTGAACTTGGTCCACCCCCACCAGTAGCACGCTTTGAACCAACCGCCTTGCAACCCAATTTATGGCGGCGGCGCTTAAGACGCGCAAGAGCCTTGAACTTTCGTTGTAGAACCGGTGAAAAGTATATTTGATCCAAAACATGCATCACCTTATGCATTCGACGTACTCGAAACTGTTGGTGGTGAGTGAATATAATCGTGATGTGCTCAATGTGCTTTGAAAGGAAACAACTTGACATTCAAACCTACCTTGCGAATCTCATGCATAATCTCAGGTGAACTAGGTGGCGCTCTAATAGGCGCACAGCAAGGACCTTCAAGATCAGACGCTGTAATCGAATGTTTGCCTTCATTGTCCGAGCTAGAGCTGCAGTTACCTTCGTCGCTAAGGCAGAATATAATAAAGGAAAAAAGTTTTAACTTTATACATCTGTAAAAATAAGAAACGTGTTTTTCAATTAGGATTCACAAGCATGTCTTTAAAAAGAGCGCAAATCCGTACCACATCCACCGAAATCATGAATTTCAAGTAACAAAAGTTTTCATCGTAGTTCCAAATTTTCTTTAAAGTATTTGTCTGTCGATCTTCATCAAGTCAAGTGATTTCACCCCAACTTAATGAA